ACATTTATTTATCAAATATATATAAATACATTTGTCAGACAGAAGTCATAAATTGGCAACCTAAGATGTTAACTTTAGTTGACACCTTTTATTGCCAAATAAATGAATTTGATTTAAAAGTTCATGATCAATTAGTCTAGTAATATTTGTTTTGTGGAATTGGACATTATTTAAGAACTACTGCTGCTGTGGATGTCAATTAGATACATTTTAGTAATTTATTCAGAAAATAATGAAGATACCAAATACTGAATAAATCACCTATTGGTATATCACAAAAGGAATATGGATTTCCTGTTTTCTTTTCTGACTTACAGCCGACTGTTATGGTTGCTAAGGAATTTATTTGGTTGCTATGGAACATGATATGCTATGATATATAAATTAAGTACAATTGGACCATGGATGTTAGCTCACAGATTTATTTAAAACAGCTATCTATATCTTATAGCAAAACATGCAAGTAACTGTTAACTACATGTACATTGTACATGAACAAACAAAATTGAATTCCATCAATGGATTTATTATGGTAATATGTGCCAAAATATGCAAAAAAATAGCTAATGTTTACAGCGCTGTTGCTAGGTAACGACAGTTCTAATTTTAAAGGAAAACACATTTTTATGAATGTCATATATTCATGATGATATGATATGAAGATTAAGAAGTTCCTGGTTTGGGCCAATTTTGGCCCTTATCGCCCCTACTCCTTTTCAAGGTCACAGGAGTCAAATATGATAAGAACTTTGAATGACTACTTCTGAATTACCAAAAGGCCCAGGATTGTGATATTTGGCTAGTGGCATGTAGGGTTGAGAGGGAACTTAGTTTGATGAAAAACAAATGATCTTCACCAGTATGAAAGGTCACAGGGGTCAAATAGTTTAAAAACCTTTAAACAACTTCTTTTGAATAAACAAATGGACCAGGGTGATGATGTTTGGCAATTAGCATGCATGGATGAAACAATACTAAATTTGTTGAAATGAATGAGCTTCACCCATATTCAAGGTCACAGGGGTCAAATATGTTAAAAGCTTCTGCTGAATAACCAAAACACCTAGGATGTTGATATTTGGACAGTTACATGCTCAGATAAAAAATTCTATGCTTGTTCTAATTAATGACATTAACCACTATTCAAGGTCACAAGAGTCAAATGTGTCAAAACTTTTAAACAGCTCTGCTGAATAACCTTAAAGCATAAGGTGGTAATATTTGCCAGTAGCATGCTCAGATAAAGCGCTATTAAAGGTTTCATGTGAATGACCTTCACCCACTTTTAAGGTCAGATCTTGTCAAATATGTATAAACATTTAAATGACGTAATCTCAATAAAAAAAAGGTCTAGGATGGTATTATTTTGCAAAGTTGCATGCTGAGATGAAGGGCTATTAATTTAGTCCAACATAATTACCTTATTCGAGTTTCAATGTCACAGGGGTCAAATGTATTTAAATCTTTTAACACTAGGTTCTTTTGAACGACTTATAGTCATAAATACTATAAGTACAGGTGAGCGATACATGCCCATTGGACCTCTTTTCTTGGTGATTGTGTGATTGAGAGAAAGACAAAAACAGTTTACAATTGGAAATCATTCACTTGTAATTGTTCTTGTATTATTTGCTTTCTTAAGAACATTTAGAGTTTTTAGATTAATTTAGAGGCCTTACAATGGAAATGAAAATATATTTGTTTACATTTATTGCAGTAAGGTCAATCATGGCCTAATAGTGGAATATATGTATTAATTGGCAGTTGAGCAAGATAATCCTAAAGGAAAGAAAACATTTTATCACAATCCTCTTTTTGAGAAGACATGAATGGTATCCCTTATTCTGCTGGATGTCCAACTTAGTTACATTCTACTGTCATTCAGTGGGATGGAGCTGGTCAATCTTTTAACTCCAGAACATACTAGAGGTAATTTGGTGAATATATTTGTTGTTCTGTAAATTCACAGATGTGATAACAATAAACAGATGAACCGACCAAGTGGGTTTTCTCTGGGTACTTAAGGTTTCCTCCTACATTAAGACCCCCGCACGCTTACATCCGGGCTTACATTAGTGATTAGTATAAGTTGTAAAGACTTGTTTCATAATTGTTGTAAAATAAATAAAGTTTATATTAATGAACAGAAACTGAGATGTTTTGAGACCAAATAAATTTAGTTGTTTTTATGTTTTAGGAATTGGATGAAACTGAAATGAATCGAATGAGAACACCAATGAATAAAAGAGGGTTTGTATATGTTTGCCTTAGTGTAGTGTTTAATTGTAGGCTATTTTATTTTCTTATCAATTTGCATTAAAAAACTAATAAGGAGACTGCATCAAGATGAATAAATTGAGAATCGCATGTCTGCCTGTCCTATACATTTTTCAGACAACAATGTGTTGTACATCTCTTCATTAAAGGTCAAGGTCACATGATGAGTTCAAAGGTCAAATCAATGAGATGCTTGTCTGACCACTTTGCCAAGTGTATTAAATATCTTCATTGAATCAGAGATTTGTAATGGGATGGTATATCATGTCTGTACCCAAAGGTCAAGGTCACCTAGAACTGAAAGGTCAAATAATTGTAGTGCTTTTTTGGGCTATAAAATTTTAATTTAAAGCCTTCAACACTTTTGATAAAATAATAATTGAATGTATCATATAATCAAAACAGGCAAATGTTTCACTTCTCAATGTCTGTAACCCCAAAGTCAAAGGTCACAGCAAGAAGTCAAAAGCTTTTTCTTAAGCTATAAAATATTGAATGTTATTTTATGAAATATCATCAGTACTGAATGGCTGGATATGTTTTTCATGAAACATTTAATTATAATGCATATCATCACATGACATATTTTATCGATCATATGTCTGCTCTGTCTAAATCACAACAGAACAGGCTCAACTATCAAGTATCTGTTCTGTCTAGATCATAACAGAACAGTCTTTCTGACTTTTTTTTAGAAACAATGATTCCTAAATGGCAGACAAAGTTTTTGTTAGTTTTAAATTGATGTATGCATCATTCCTGTTAAATGTGTTGTGGCATGGAGGCAGGGTAGTCTAGTGGTAGAACGCCAGGCTCGTGACCGAAGGGTTGTGCATTTGAGTCATGTCTACTCAGCTGTAAATGAGTACGAGGTTGGGCAGTACTAAAATTGTTGAATGTTAGCTGTGAGTGCTGAAACGGCTGCACCGGCTGTATGCTCCCCAGGGAGTTGAGAAAAATATACTGTAAACGTGGTTATGTACGCTGGGTGAAAATTACGCGATTTGAAGGTCAAAACTATACGCCTGGGGGTAATTTAGGTGGTCACGGAAGACCGACGTTTACTCTGCAGAGTTATCTCCGTTACTTTACAAAATGTGAACAGGTAAACATAGTAGTAGCTACTGATCATGAGTACACGTTAAGCTTGCGTACCGACTGCTCTTTGGACAGATGAAAATAAAGGTGAACTGTATTCATGTGTATGTGTGTCTTATACTCGTAATCAACTGGGATCAAACAGGTGAGTGCTATTTAGTCAAAACAAACACGTTTTCCAAATAACAATGATAAAACCATACACGATTCGTAAGTTATCGTAACACATCGAGCATAGTTAATATCACTTCCATGATGACGGGCATTTACCTGTGTAGTGATCGTTGCACACAACTACTAGCTGTTTGTGTCCCTTATACAGGTGTGTGAGTGATGTTTACCTTTTAGTCGCAAGAATAGCTCTTCTGAGCTAAAGTTGCATTGTTACAAACACGACTCTAAATAAAAATTCTTGTATCTTGTATCTTGTACCTGACCTCGACGCACCCAGGTTTATTCATGACTTTCTCTGTGCCTTTATATATATTTTCAAATTTGTCGTTCATTAAAAACTTCAATTAATCGGGTAGAGCAATGGAGGCAGTTATCGACAGTCTAAGCTTCAAACGTGTTTTTCCAGTTTACCATTTTGCGTAAGTTATTTTATGATGACATTTCGGAGAAGTCGGAATACATTCATTTGTTTTGACGTGTGCCAATTGCTTAAAAAAGGTATAAACATGTCAAGTGCTCCCTTTTCTACACGCATGCGCAAAACAGTCACCGTCACAGCATTTTGATCAAACACATTTTTCTGGTTCCCTTTCAATTTCATATTCTTTTGATCCGGAATGATGCATTCCAACAGCCCAAAAATTTGATGCATTTTATCCTTCAATGATGTAGATCAGAAATTTAATTCAAGAAAACATAATTGAATCTTCTTAAAATAATCATTGTGGAAATGTTTTTAGGTTCTTATTGTTCACAAGATAATAAGTTAAATACATCCTGCCTAACGGAACAATTTTCATCAAAATTTGATCTATGTAATTGTTTACTTTTCAATATATGTTATATTCTGTCTATATATGGCTGCATTGTCTTCAAATATTGATATTTTTCTTAATTTGTAATTGCAGTTTATATTGAGCATACTTACAAGACTTATCTACATGGATTTTTTTGAGTACTTTGGATTTTTTAGTATTTTAGTTATGCTTGTAAAGTTATGTCTGTTTATTGGATAGACTTTATAGCAACACTATTGTTGTCGGGTACATGTTCTCACCTTACACAATTCACGATATATATAATGAAATCATCCAGGAACTTTGAAGTACAAGTCATTCATAAAAATATGAAATTGCGGCAGTCATCGACATCCCTATTTCCGACCTTAACAATACCCCGGATGTAGATAGGACGCTGACAAACGTTGCAGATGCTTCATGAGTGAAGTTATATTACACCATTATGTGACAAATATTTCAGATAAAAAATATTTCAAAAATTCAAAGTGACATACATATCTTATCGGTGCCCGTAAGGGAGGTCTAAAAACAGGATTGATTCTTCTTTTTGAAAAAAAAAGTTTTCGAAAAGGTAAGTGTATCTATCAAAAACACTGATTTTCTGAAAAACGGTTTGTTATCGATCCAAAACGAGATTAATAGAATATTCAATATAACCCTCCGTTGCTCTAGTTTATTTCGGTTGTTATTGTTTTTATTTATATCATTACAAGACAATGTACGTAAATTAGTAATACGTTGACAAAGCAATATTACAGGAGGACATCACACACACACAAGTACCAATATCTATCAGAGTTGTCGTTACTTACACTATCGACAAAACCATACGTGCAAGAGAAATTTACGCGGACGATCCAGCTCCGTGTAATAAGCGTTAATTTCCCCGCGCGCTTAATATTCCTCGTTTACAGTAGGCTGGTTGCAAAGGCCCTATAACCACAGGTAACAATTTGTGAACCGCTTTAAGACGGCCTACGAACTAGGATGTGATAAAGCGGTATATAAGAACCTCTAATTAGTATTATTATTATTCAATAACAAATTCAATATTTCAGTAAACTTGTGCTATTCTGGGGAAAATTTGTATTCAAGTTGACTGTTATAGCTGATTGATTGGCTAAAGATTAACATATCAAAATAACCTATAAAGTTAGGTACATATGTTGCTAACTCCATTAAAAAAAGGGTAATAATTTGTTGTTTGAAAATGAATTATCACTGGGCTAGACAATAAGGGTAACCTGATAGTCTGAAACTATTGAAATCTTCAGCTAAAGTAGTCCTTAAAAACACCAGCCCGACTCGGACTAGTCAAAAATGGTCGCATGCACATATTCTCAACGTTTTAGATTGTCAGTGACTAATTGCTTTCCTAGTATTGAGTTCTGATTTTGTCTTGGTGTGTTGATAATATGGAATTTTTAGCTCACCTGTTGAGCAAGTGAGAGTATGCCATGGCGCGGCATCCGTCATCTGGCTGTCCAGGGTAATGGTTTTCTTTAAACAATGTCTTCTGAATAACCAAAATGCTTAGAGTGATTATATTTTGCCAGAAGTATGCAGAGATGAAGGGCTAGCTATCATACACTGTATCTGTTCAAATGAATGTCCTTCGTCCATATTCAAGGCTACGGGGGTCAAATATGTTGATATCTTTAAACAACTTCTTCTGAATAACCGAAAGGTCCAGGGTGTTGATATTATGTCAGTAGCATGCTTGGATTACAGTCTACTATGTTGCAAGTTGCATGCTGGGATGAAGGGCTATACATTTTGCTCAATTGAATGACTGTTAGACTTTTAAGGTCACAGGGGTCAAATGTGTTTCAATCTTTTAACAGGTTCTTTTGAAAGACTGTGAGATATAGTATTTTTGCATTCACAACATATTTTTCTTTCAACAGCAAATTGATCACTATTATCAAGAGCATTAAGAAACCAGATCTACCTGGGTGAGTATATGTTACATAAATCTTTCTGTTGTTGTTGCTGGAAATATTCTTGTTTCAGTGGTAGTCTCTTCTTAGCACTTTTCTCACTGTAAATTCTTTGCTAAATTATAGATAGGCCAGTTGCAGTTCATGTATATTGTTCTCTATGGTACATATTTTCTTGAAGTGCCATTTCATAACTGCTCCAATCCACCAAATTAGAATCATGCACTAAAATTTGATTGCGCTAAAATAAGTTCATCCTTGGTCTGAGTGGGCGTTTTAATGTTTGTCAGGTAGATTTTGGCTTGAAGAACAAAGACCAACAACTTAAGTGGATGTTTATTATCATAGTACAAGTTTACATTTAATGTAATGTCAGTTCAAGGTTGCATAATGAATGTCCATGAGATTTTTAAAAGGTTCATTTTTAGCTCACCCGCCGAAAGGGCAAGTGAGCTTATGCCATGGCGCAGCATTCGTCGTCCATCGTCCGTCCTTCATCCGTCGACCATCCATCATCTTTTCGTTTAAAACGCTACTAGTCCTGAATGGCGCAGTGAATTTATCCTGATTTGGTCTTGAGCATTCTTAGGCCAAGGGGACTCATTATTGTATAAACGGTGGGTGTGGCCCTCCTGGGGACAGAAGGGTGGGGCCGAAAAGGGGAAATAGAGCTAAAATCTATCTCCTACTGTAGGGATTAGGGGATTTTATCCTAATTTAATCTTGAGCATCCTTGGGCCAAGGGAATCAATGTTGTATAAACGGTGGATTTGACCCCCTCTAGGGGCAGATGGGTGGGGCTGTTTAGGGGAAATAGAGGTAAACCTTTAAAATCCTTCTGCTACCATAGGAATTAAGGGATTTCATCTCAATTTGGTCTGTAGCATCCTTGGACCAAGAGGTCCAAATTTTGTATAAATGGTGGTTGTGGCCCCCCTTGGGGCAGAGGGGTGGGGCCGAATAGAAGAAATAGAGGTAAAACCTTTAAAATTCTTCTTCTACCGTAGGGTTTAAGGGATTGTCCAAAGGATCAAGGTGAGCTTATGCAATGGTGGGTTTAGACCCCCTGGGGGCAGAGTTGCGGGGCCAAATAGTGAAAATAGAGGCAAAAACCTTTGAAATAATTCTTCTACCATATGGATTAAGGGATTTTATCCTAATTTGGTCTGGAGCATCCTTGGGCCAAGGGGACTTAATTTTGTATAAATGGTGGGTGTGGCCCCCCTTGGGGCAGAGGGCCGGGGCGAATAGGGGAAATAGAGGTAAAACCTTCAAAATCCTTCTTCTACCGTAGGGATTAAGGGATTTTATCCTTATTTAATCTGGAGCATCCTTGGGCCAAGGGAACTCAATTTGTATAAATGGTGGGTGTGGCACCCCTTGGGGCAGATGTGCAGGCCAAATAGGGGAAATAGGTAAAACCTTCAAAATCCGTCTCCTACCGTAGGGATTAAGGGATTTTATCCTAATTTAGTCGGGAGCATCCTTGGGCCAAGGGGACTCAATTTTGTATAAATAGTGGGTGGGGCCCCCCTTGGGGCAGAGGGCCGGGGCGAATAGGGGAAATAGAGGGAAAACCTTCAAAATCCTTCTTCTACCGTAGGGATTAAGGGATTTTATCCTTATAAAATCTGGAGCATCCTTGGGCCAAGGGGACTCAATTTGTATAAATGGTGGGTGTGGCACCCCTTGGGGCAGATGGGCAGGCCAAATAGGGGAAATAGGTAAAACCTTCAAAATCCTTCTCCTACCGTAGGGATTAAGGGATTTTATCCTTATTATGTCTGGAGCATCCTTGGGCCAAGGGGACCCAGTTTTGTATAAACAGTGGGTTAGGCCCCCCAAGGGCCTGAGGGGCGAGGCCCAATAGGGGAATATAGCAAATTATTCTTTAAAATCCTTCTTCTTCTGTAGGAATGACAGGATTTGGTCCATATTTGGTGTTGAGCATCCTTGGGTTAAGGGAAAACAATTTTGTATAAACGGTGGGTCTGATCCCCTTGGGGCCTGAGGGGCGGGGCCCAATATGGGAAATATAGCAAATTCTTAAAAATCCTTCTTCTGTAGGAATGACAGGATTTATTCCATATTTAGTCTGAAGAATCCTTAGGTGAAGGGGTACCAATTTTGTATAAACCATGGGTCTGACCCCCCAGGGACCTGAGGGGCGGGGCTAAATAGGGGAAACATAGCAAATAATTCTTTAAAATCCTTCTTCTACCATAGGGATTAAGGGATTTTGTCCTAATTTAGTCTGGAGCATCCTTGGGCCAAGAGGACTCAATTTTGTATAAGCAGTGGGTGTGATGTGTGATCTCCCAGGGGGCAGAAAGGCGTGGTCCAATAGGAGAAATAGAGGTAAAACCTTTAAAATCTTTCTTCGACCCTCATGATTAAAGGATTTAACCTCATTTAGTCTGGAACATCCTTTGGCCAAGGGGACTCAATTTGGTATAAACGGTGGGTGTAACCCCCCTAGGGGCATAGGGGTGGGGCTCTGTTTGAAATTCGTTATATCTCAAGTACTGGATGGATCTTTCTAAAATTCCATATGTACTTACAGCACCTACCATGGAGTGCTATATCTTTACTTCATACCAATTATTTTAAACATATTCAGGTGAGCGATACAGGCCCTCTGGGCCTCTTGTATTTACAAGTCATAGGTAAGTAGTAAAGAGCAATGTTTTAATACTACTCAAGCAAAATCAAACGTCTGCACCAATATGGAAATACACAAGTATATGTATTCATACTTTAATTCTTGTACATATTTTATTATAATAAGATATATGTATAATATTCAGCTATATGTACTACTATGTTGGAAGTTATTTGCTCACATTATTGTTCCTGTGATCTATTGCTGTCTGTAGTTAAGTGTAATGTCTGAGATATGTCTGAGTTACAGTTTACATTTCTGTAATTAAGTGTCATGTAATGTATGTTGTGTGTTACAGTTTACATTTCTGTAGTAAAGTGTTTTGTAATGTATGTTGTGTGTTACAGTTTACATTTCTGTAATAAAGTGTCGTGTAATGTATGTTGTGTGTTACAGTTTACATTTCTGTTGTTAAGTGTTTTGTAATGTATGTTGTGTGTTACATTTTACATTTCTGTAGTAAAGTGTTGTGTAATGTATGTCATGTTTTACAGTTTACATTTCTGTAGTTAAGAGGTCTAGGGTGATGATTTTTGGCCAGTAACATGCTGGGATGAAGGGCTACCAAGTTTGTTCAAATAAATTACCTTGACTTACTTTCAAGGTCACAGGGGTCAAATATGTTTAAATCATTTAAACAACTTCTTATGAATAACCAATTAAGAGGCCTAGGGTGCTTTAATTTGGCCAGTAACATGCTGGGATGAAGGGCTACCAAGTTTGTTCAAATAAATGACCTTGACATATATTCAAGGTCATAGGGGTCAAATATGTTTAAAACCTTTGAATGACTTCTACTTAATAATCAAAGCGCCAAGGGTGATGATATTTGGCCATTAACATGCTAAGATGAAGGGCTACCAAGTTTGTTCAAATGAATGACCTACGTCCATATTCAAGGTCACAGTGGTCAATATATGTTTAAATCTTTAAATGATTTGTTCTATATAACCAAAAGGTCAAGGGTAATGATATTTTGCTAGAAGTGTGCTGGGTTGGAAGGCTATAAACTCTGTTCAACCTGATGCTCATCGTTGTCGACGTCATACCATTAGTCTTCGACTACTACTGACGCTTCTACTAATTCTAATGGTACGGACTCCCGGTCTGCACCTCCCGCTCTGTAGCATGCAGGGCTGAATTTTCCTGGGTGATGTTTCCACGCACGGTTCAGTCTTGATTTGAAACAGTTTAATGATGGAGCGTTTATTACGGTGGAGTCTAAATTGTTCCACGGTTCAGTCACTCATTTGGAGGCATTTCCTCTTAGTTTGGTCCTAAATCTTTCTTTAAAAGTTGTTTTGTTGTGACCTCTGGTGTTGTGTACATTCTGTCCGGTCGCGAAATTTGTGAATTTATCCATGTTGGCATCTACAAGTCCATTGCATATGTTATAAAGGTTTACCATGTCTGCTCTTTCACGTCTGTACTCTAAGGAAGGTATTCCTAAAACTCGCAGACGCTCCTCATAGTTTAGATGTTTGAGATGTGGCAACAACCTGGTGGCACGACGTTGAACATTTTCTAGAGTCTTCAGGTCCTTTTTGTACATTGGAAACCAGACTGATGTGCAGTTCTCCAAGTGAGGTCTTACTAGAGACTTGTATAGATTTGCGAACATTGCCTCGTCCATGAAGGTAAAAGATTTAAATATTAATCCCACCATTCTGTTGGCCTTCTTTGCTTGCATGTTGACATGGCCGGTAAATTTCAAGTTATTATCGAAATCAATCCCCAAGTCCTTTTCGTGCTCCACCTTTTGAATTACTGTTGTGTTGACGTTTCCCGTTAAGGTATAACTTTGGTCAGATACAGATTGCCCAAGCTTGATGTTCATATATTTGCACTTTTCTAAATTAAGTTTCATTTGCCAAGTCTCAGTCCAGTGGCATATGTTATTGAGAGCATCCTACATGGAGTCAATGCACTCGGGCGATGATATATCACCGAAAATTTTGGCGTTGTCCGCAAATAATTTAGCTGTATTGTTTGTCACATCCGGTAGGTCGTTGACGTATATTAAAAACAATATCGGTCCCAGAACGCTACCCTGGGGCTCGTAACCGAAATTGATTTAGATGCCTTGCCATTGATCACTACTCGCTGTTCCATGTCCTGGAGGAAATCACATATCCAATTCCCGATACTACCGTCAATCCCATATCCCTTTACCTTTTCTAGGGGCCTTCTGTGAGGAACTTTATCAAAGGCCTTATTAAAATCTTGGTACACTACATCGACCTTATTTCCGTTGTTTATAGATTCCGTCCAACATTCCATAATTTCAAGCAGTTGAAGATTACATGAACGTTTGCTCCTAAAACCATATTGATGATCCGAGAACAGTTTGTTA